GACTTGTTCAACCTCTTATCTTTTCATGGTCTTAATCTATAACGTTACAAATCACACCTTATTTTCTCTCCTACATTCTGTTTACTACTAACATAATAACAACTCTTATTTGTGTTCAAGTATCATATCAGGTTGCGCAATTCATCAGCAGAAGATTAGTAACTCTATCCAACTTCTAAGTAAAATGTGATTAATATCCAATACCGTGAACAAGCTTTATTATTCTCTAATAGTGTGTTTGTTACCATATCCTCTAAGCAAAACAAATTATCGTGAAGTGCTAAGCATGTTTACTGAAGAAAGTGGCGACTATAGAGCACTGGGAAGAGCCCCCTTACTGAACCACTATTCCTTTTGCCTAGGATGTAACAGCAAACAACTTTCCATTATCTAACAGGTTTTTTAGTGAAATAACCTAATTCGAAGGTGTATAACCACACACTTTAACTACATGACACTTCAGTATGGTATACTGCTGCTGTATGTTACAGCCTCTCCATCCAAGTGTAGATCACTTACTGTTTCGATTATATTTTCCTTCCCGTGAAACTCCTTTCAATCTTCCGCTTTGTTTGCAACAGAAAAACCAATATAGCATGAAACATATGTAGGAATAACTTTCCAACTGATTGGATCCACACCCGTTTTGACAAGCCATAGTTATATGAACTATTAATATTCCTAAAACTCTAGAATATCAGCAAGAGCCATTTGTCTAGTGCCTTGCATGGAATAAGCTACAAAGTAAGAGCGATCATTACTTTTGACTAAAATCACATACCTAATTAAAAAAAAGTACTCGTAATTACATCGTTGTTTTCTTCAAGAAATACGTGCAATGAAGAAAATGAAACATTCTCAGAAGTCATTAAATATACCGCGGCTAATGTGCCATCACAGATCCCAGTAAAATGATAAGCGTTACTTGCGAAAACTCTTTTTTTTAGGCATGGTGGCTCGAATCATCAACAAAAGTTGCAGGGTGATTTGACGAAACTGTAACGCCTAATACTTATGGTGCGAACAGATAGTCAAGGCTAGAGAGGAGACAGAGTTAAAGAAAGTGACTTATGGGTAGATGGAATTGAATTCTTACTGGAAGTAAGTGGGCGGTTCCAAATTCCTGGCTGTGCACATCATGAAAGTTCTAGTAAGGTGCTTCAAAGAGAAAACAGCTTGGTTTCGAGTGACTGCAGATTCCAAATAGTATCTGCTTGAGGCTGGTCACATGACCTATTGGAGAATTTCGGTATGATTGTGCTACATATAGACTAGAAAAATCCACACCCCCAACAAAGAGAATGACCCCATGGGACGTAGAAACATACTAATCAGGGATGGTACAACGCGTAACATTACTACAAAAAGCCATCGTCTACAGTGTTGCAGAAAATATATCACTAAAGAAGGCTAAGGATATGATCTTTAACTCGTACACAAAATCTATGCATTTGGAGGAGGATTCGAAAGACCAAGTCACAAATAAAATACTCCATTTTATTATACTTTCTACTGTTGCGTAATTTCAAACAATTTGTTTCGATAGGATATATTGTTAAACACAAAAATAGGTTCAATTACACTAATATATCTCATGACGGGGCCCTACTTCAAAAAAATCTCAAACCCCTAGTTGTACTCAATAATAACGTACCCACTACAGAAGTAGCATGACCTAATCCAAAACTATCTTTATACAACACCTGCCTCTGATAGTCCTAAAATAGGTACCACTAAGTGTTAACCAATAAATAAGATGATACTGAAAAGGCAATACTGTTGGATAATAAATCCTGAGCTAACGTGATAATAGCACTCTGTAGATATGCACACCTCTCTGGGTCGCAACATAGGACTAGTAACCACTGACAATGGTAACAAACAAATACTATGTGTACAGCTACATTCACGTGCCTGTGACGAAACGAAAGTAAACAAAACGTTGAATGGCAACAGGAAATCCCGTCTGCCGAAACATTTGAATCAAAATACCCAAAAGGGCAAAATTCATTCAGGGGAGACATTTTGCTGCTGTCACACTCCACACACCTAGTAGTATGACTTAACCCTTGGAGCTCCTCCACAGTATAAACCATTTACCGACAGGTCTTTCTGGCACGACAGAACCTCAAAGAGCGATCGTTCTGGCTAGCATGGCTCGTTAGGTCATTTCAGTGGGCAGGCCCGACCACAATGTCACGGTATTAGCTATCGGTATGAGACCTATATTTACTAACTGACTATGATGAACGTCTTTATTAAAAGAATTTACTGATTTTAGCCATTCTCATCTCTTCAGAAAAGCACTGAAATCTGACAATTTACCAAAAATGTCAAAAAATATGTTGTGGAATTTCCTCTTTACTTCGGTAATTTCTTTCCTTAGTACAGAACAAAAAATTTTCTTTTCCCCTTCTAGGATCGACCTCCTTCGTCGGGAGTGAGTGCAGTCTAGATTCGCAAACCACATGTACTGTCAAGACTGCCGGTACTAGTAATTTTTACTGATTCTTCCTCATCTTTCATCTTAGTGCTTTCTCCCTTGATGTGCTACGACGTATGGTAACTTCGACCGTTATACAGTAGTGACTGGCGTTGATGATGCCGGTACTTCCAAAAACTAAGTCTAACACCTGATGGTCATGCATCTACTACTTACACAACTCAATCACAGCTCTATAAATCGGTCACCCACAGAAGGGCGGCAAATGTCTATAAAATGAGTTACGTTGCTTAGGGGAAGTTTTTGTTTATTCCGAGAGTCAAAATTCTGTCAGCAACCCCGTACAAATTTGTGCACTATGCAATCAGCTACACCTATTGCGGGAGAACTAATTATTATACCTGGCTGCCCAAACCTTGGTAGATGGAGCGGTGTTTGAACTCGTAACCCACTGGTTGAAAACCAAGTGCCTAAACCAGTGAGCCATAGGAGTATTAGCTTATTTCTGAGGCTTCCAGCGAGAGTGGTTGGTAGGTTAAAACACATGATTTGAAGATTAACAGTTTTTTTCAGTGTTGCTAATTTGACTAAACTTAGGTTTCAACTAACCAACCTAAACAGGTAGTTGAAACTCGGTGGCTTCTGGTTAACTAAACTAAAAGTACTAGTGAACAGACAAAATCAACATAGAGCTTGGTGTGTGTTGGTTCAACTTACCACACTTCACAGTAGCATGAAAGAACAAGTGGGTAGACAAAGTCTGTTATCAAAGCAGACAAAGGAGAAAGCGAGGAGGAAATTTAAAAACTAAGGTTAGTCAATACACTTAAGCCCTAGAAAACAAAGAGCGAATAACCCTGCATGACTGTGACCGATTTTCATCCATTTCACCAAGTCCTCAACCACTGATTCTTAGCGTCTCTAGGACCCTAACCACGTAGACAACACACTACACGGCTCAGACCGGCAGTCACAGACTTCATGCATTGGTGCCACACTTTCGTCCGGCCGCGCTGAACCCTATTCCAACTTCACCTAGCATTGTACATCGAGATTGACTATGGTTCAGCATATGCAACACATGTTCTAGTCACCTCAGTCGTTGGAGGTCCACCTCATCGACTGATTTGCCTAATACCCTGACCTTAATAGTGCTAATGGTGATTCCACACTACGCGGGCAGCACTACGACGACACAGTCTGTTCATAACTCCTACTTTTAAAGGCCATTTCTCACAGTCGTACAAGACAGAACAGATTGCAGTGCATCATACTTGTTCTATTATAGGTAGTTGGATAACTCGCCAGTCGGCACCATAGATGACACAATTTGATTAATCTTAAACGATCCTTCTGTACCCAAGCTGAGATTTCGCCAGCATGTTCGGGCTGATACAACTTCCCAGATGAAGTGGTCAACTGGAAATAGTTGCAAACCAGCCCTGGAGCATTACCTAACTAGTAAGCTCTCCTAATCACTGTCACTACTTCAACCAAGAAATCCTCAAGTCACAACTGATCGAGTCTTCCTGGACATGATTGGGCAATGAGAAATAAGACCTAAGAAAATAATCACAAGATAAAGCGAACTGAAACAGTGAATGTTTATGGAATGGCTTGTTACATCCCGAACTGGCAAGCCGATTATTTAGAACGACCGTATCTAAAATTGTTTATTTACTCCGAGACTGCTGGTACATTAACCATTAGAGCAGTTAAGATACTCAGTGAAAACTACTCATACAACCAGTTGTCCAGTGTATGCTCCTACGCCATCAACGACGTTAATGCAAATCGTTTTAGGAGTAACACTTAATTAAGTACACATTATGACTGTTGACAAGCCTAACACTATAATGCTGCCTGTAGAATGTCGCTAGAAGTCAGTCGTGCATTTTTACAAACCTAATGAACACGTTGGAATACATTTACTGCAGACATGACGGTTAAACTGTGTGGACCTACGGGTTTAGGCAGTTTTCAAAAGTTGCAGTTCCACATTGACTTAGGGATCAAATCTCACGCGTACCTATTGCTAAATGAACCGAACACAAACTCTAGGCAGAGTAGCAACTGTAGCACGCCACTGAATATCAGTGTCGGGGGAAACAACAGGTTGTGCCACTGGCTTAGAAGCAGCTGCTTTTGGCGCCAATCATTAGTACATGATAGCTAAGAATGCAACTCACCCTTTGCCAGTACGTCAACGTACTAGCTCAACGGATAACACACCAGGACTCCACAAACAAAGCACCACTGTCACTATCGATTAAGACATGCCTCAGTTACCCTTCATAGTATAACCATTGTAGCCACTAAACATTTATATTTAAATCTAAACGAGAGATTAGAATACAAAACGAACCAAGTGCCAATCAACAGTCAAATAGATTCTTAGAAATTAACGGTCACAACTCCAAAATTATATCTAGTTATGCTGAATACAAGATGGAGCTCAATGCAATTAGAAGTATTCACAGTTCTTGGAGAACCAGAACTCATCTAGGTGACGTCGTAGCAGGAAAATTACCCGACTTCATATTGCAGTAACTCTAATAAACTTATAAAGTGTATTTGATAAAAAGATTACAGTAGCCATCATATTACAAATGCAGGACGGCCCGATGGATTCAAAAAAGGACATCTGTAAACAATATAAAATAACACCATCTGTGTACAGAAACTGTACGCCAACATCAAAGCTTCCAGCACTATGGGCTAATCGTCTGATTCTGAGTCTTCTGTCTTGGACTTTTTCCCAGCTTTGTATTTCTGCATTGCCTAAATGAGTAAACCATAAACACGTCTAGGACACTGCTTACTTTATCATAACGTTGTTTTTCAACTTGAGCTAAGCTTTCATACTTAGCCTTGTTTTTGCAGTGTTCCCATCTTTTTCCGAGCTCCTTAGCAATATCACCGACCTTCCAATCAGGATTTTCAGATTTAACTTTGGGTCGTTCGTCTTGACAAAACAGGAAAAATGCGGACAACGCCTTCTTTGGCGCATCCGGATCTTTTTTCCTTTTCTTGGCACGGCCTTCATCGGCTGGAGGTTCGTAGTGTTCCATCTCATTTTTATAACGTTCCTTGTCTTTGTCAGCCAAGTCTTTAAACTTTTTCTTCTCTTTAGCTGAAAGATTCTAAAATACTTAGCCAAGCGGGAACATCCAAAATACCTTCCATTGTTCAGAGCACTCTTTCGAGAAAGTTTTGAAATCCAAACTCACGTTTGGATGTTTCTTCTTATGGTCAGCATGCATAGATTGCAAGAATAATGCATAAGCATTCATTGCACCTTTCGGCTTATTTTTATCCTCTGCCATCTTAGTCAAGCTTGTTGAATTCAAATTTACGAAACTGTAAGCTCGACCAACTCAAACGGCCTCAGGTAGACCAAGAACGAACAAAGCTTACAGTTCAAGTGTCACAGAGTTTGTCATGCACCTAACTAATAATTAAGTGGAAACTAATTTTGAATTGTTAAAATATTGCCTTACTGATCTATTAAATCATCGACTAGTGCTCAAAGACTTTTAACGCTTGTTTCATCGCACAAGTACCCAACCAGTATTTGTACTAACACCATGCTGCTTTTAACACCCACACGTTCAAAGTCTTTAGTCAGGCCACTTATAGATGGATATGACCCTTCAACCTTTCGAGCAAAAACTTCAGTTTGTAAACTTCTTGGCAATTCCAAGCAGTTTCGTGCATCAGTTCACTTGTTCTTGCTGACTGCACCTATACACAATGTCTCAGTGTTCGAAATGATATCAGACCAAATGGCATATATTATTCATTCCAGTGCTGAGCGTAATGGAGGTGGAATCTCACCCTGCAAGTCTTCAATAAGAGGCGTAGTCAAAGTGCATTGGCGAAGAAGATCACTGATGCACTAGATGTGAAAAAAGTGTTGTGGCAAGTAATCCCACAAAATCAACAACCTGGGGTTTGACGAGACACATCATCGATGCTGACCTCCATAGTTTCGGTGAACCAGATGACATCCACGCCATTCACCACTCTATCTTGTTGCATTGTGTTGCTCATATGCGATCCTCTAGCCAGCTAGTCGGAACTCATATGTGTCTTAGCGTGGTCTGTTAAATATAGCATTCCTCCTAGTTACTCTGTTGTATTCCTTCCTGGTTCCGCACTTGTGGCTGTGTAACAAGTACGAATAATTACTGATTGGCCTTCGCATCTGTCAAGCTCTCGCAAGACTAATTCCTAAACTAGTGAGCTCGTTCCCTTTCGTGATTATGTATTTCTGTTTTCATAATGGCAGTTTTTAAAAGTTCTATCATTAGCATCCACACCCATGTGTAGGCAGATTGCTAAGCTCATCCACATTAAATCGCAAACGCAACTAGCCCAGCTTGTGTCATTCTGTTCAGACAACACACAACCATGGTTTCTGCTGGCCCAAACCGAGTCCTGACAACGGGGCACCACAGACCCTCATTTTCTACCTCTTGTGGTCATAAAATCAGCACTTTAACTGACTGGGCAGACTACAGGGGCTATACTTAACCCTGAAGTAAGCGGTCCCTGCGAACCGCTTAAAGAAGCACCTCTGAAGAAAAGTGACCCCACAGATTGTCAGTGGTTAGATGAGTTTCTACGTAACATGGTTGGCAAAATGCTAGATAACTCTGGTAGACCTGTGCCCAATGTACAATCTGTCTACAAGAACCGAGGGGTCAGAATTTATAGATGACAGAAGCAGGCAGTCCTGCTAAGCAGTTTCCACTGACGCAAAGCCCTAGGTCATGGCATGCAACGCAGCAACGTGTTCCGTACCATAGCATCACCCCACGTAGCCCTCCAGCAGCTAGGTCTGGCATAGCCGACAATCCTAAATCGTGCTGGTTCCATAACACTTATGGCAAGGAAGCCAAAAATTGTCAAAGGCTACGAATTTTCCACAAAGGTTGCAAGGAAACGTGAAACTATCCATATTGGCGCGCATTACCAGCAACCGCAGCAGGCGGACGGGGCTGTTTGTGGTACATGGCTGACCTGAAGACGGAAGCTTGATACCCTTCAACGCCTGCTTGAAAGTTGACGTTCTTTTCTCAACCCCGCACGAGCGTCGTCCTGAAACGTCCTTCAGCCTGAAAGCGGCCAAGGGCAAGACAATCGCAACCCTTGAGAAAAGGTCTTCCTACCTCAACTTGGGCCTACACAAACCCATCCACCGGGTGTTCCTTCAAACTGGTGTTTCCATCCTCATTATTGGCATAGATTCGCTAGACCGGCCTACTTTTAGACGCCCATCAATGACTGACGGATAACGCCATGGAGCTACTCATTGGCAGAACCGCCTGTTCAGGTCCCAGTTAAGCCACAGCAAGAACGAAACTGCCGATTCGTGCTGTCGGACAGTGCTAGACAAGTATCCGTAATTGATGAAACTGACCCGTGCCCCTCTATCTACAAACAGCGATGCTGTGCATCGCATCCACCTATGGCGTTAAAAGCGCGCCGCCTAGCCCTTAAAAAACCTGGAACAGCGAAAGCGTGTTCGATCTCATGAGTGAACCGGGCACCACCAAACCGTCTAAAAGTCCCCGGGTATCTTCATCGCATATGGTTCCCAGGAATGATAGCAACGACCGGCGTCCGATAGGTAACTGCAGGCGGCTAAACGCCGAAACAGCGCCGGGCTACTAACCAATAACCTACGTCTACGACTTGACTGTGACTTTATGCGGAATGAACACATTCTCCAAGAGCATACAGTCCGATACCTATGGAAACAGGAATTATCGTGAAAACCACCATCATTACTCCTCTTGGATTGCTCGAATTCCTGCACATTCCTTGTGGCCTTTGGAATGCGGCACAAACGCTCCGGCGCCTAACGGTTGGTGTCTTCCACAGTTTGTATTTTGTGCATGTATATGCCGATGACTGTTTCATTGGGGGTCCGGATCAGCAACTCACCCTTAATATTTGAACCTCTCATCCTTTCTTGTTTCCACAATTGTGGGTGCATAACAAGTACGAATATTTAGTGATTGGCCCCTGAGTCCGTCAGGCTGGCGTAAGGGGAATTCATGAAAATGGATTTCTGGGCTTAGACGATTAGGCCAATATTTTCAAACATGTTTGCAGATTACCTGATGACTAGCTGGAGGAGGGAGAAATAACTACGATAGAGTACATCCAAATTGTTACTGAGTCCACGGCTGACATGCGTGAAACCTATCTTTAGCCTACAATAAGACATTGTAAACGGATCAGGCTGACTAAGTCACTCTTTGTAAGCGAGGTAAGAAAAGCAGCCTACCATTTGAATCCGTATCCTCGGGACCTATGGTGCACGTCTGCCTCACATTGCTGAAAATAATGAAAACCGCACCCGAAAGCACATTTGCGCCGGCGAGCCCACCACAGTCTTCCGTCACAATGCGGAGGACTTTCAGACAAGAATGAACAGTCCTGAACTAGTCTCAGTCAACGAACGTATAACTATGCCGTGGATGACTTTCTGCATCACGCGGTGACTACATTGATCAGGGCGGCGGGTTCATATTTTGGCCTCCGAATATTTAGGTATAGTTTCCATTCTAACAGTGGTACTGACTGGTTCAACGACATGATAAACAGAACCGACAATGGTTCGCTGAAATTTGCCAATGATGACGGTACATGAGGAAATACCCCACCCAGACTACTGAACTAGCTAGCACTCAGTTTCTGAAATAGTTGTGGTGCTCTCCGCTTCTGTATTTGGACTGGTTCAGCATCCAGGCTGCGCTTTGGTGGAAGACCATCAGGCATATGCGGACGTCTTCTGGCCATACATGACCAAATTTATGAGACAGTGCACTCGATTTAGGGGCTTATCTACTCAGGATTCCGGGCAGGAAAAAACTATACCTGGTCTGATTTACCGAGCATTTCGTCGAACAAAGTGGTTCGGTCTTAGTGATTTTGGTTTGCGTGTATCATTCCTCATCCGCAGCGAACTCTACCAAACTTTTATTGAGTGGCACCCATTTGCAAAGAATGAGGTAATATGAGCTTCGAAAGTGTCGGGGCATGCAACAAACAGCAATCTTAAAGTCTAGGAGAATGAAAATCGTCTGGACCCTTTCCGGTGCGCCAGATAAAATGTGCGGTACCTTTTTCATGTGCGACAAACTCAAACATGTGCACTATATGATGTGACGACAAAATACTTGTATTCATAAAATCTTCGCGGAGGTCATTTTTGTTGTGCTAACGTCCGCACTGTCTTACATTTATCTAAGCTATTGGAAGAAAAAAGCGAGTTAGAATCCTGGGGTGCCAAAATTTTGCCATGGAGTACATTGTTTAAAATTGCCACCCTTCGCATCGTTTTTCCTCACAGTTTCATGTCAGCGACAAAAGGAAACTCTTCGAATGAAATCCGTTGAGGCAAGTCGTTAATGTATGTTAGAAAACGAAGGGACCCAGGTACCTAACCCTGAGGAACTCCAACAGGAAATTCTACTTCTTTTGACAAATAATACTCCCTCGAACCATGCTCTGAACAACCAAGACTTCCCAGCTGCTTGGCACCGGGTGAGAAGTGTGTTTGCACTTGTTCTGCGTGGGAACAAACCAACTTGCAACAAGTCTACAGCGCTAGACGGTATAGGGTGACAAGGATGTCTTGCTCTGCTTAGATAGTGCTGTTCGCTACTGGAGATTTTATACCTCCACGAAGTTTCGTCTGTCGATTTTTTATCTTTGACACCTCTTGGGGATGCTGCATTAGGTGACGAAGTCAAAGAGGCGGGCTACGCAGCTGGTCTACCTGTGAGAGATATGCGGATCTACTGGACCCGGGAACATATGGCTAACACTCGGGATAATTTGCTTTAGACAATCACAAAGCAGCAAATAAGAAGGCAGTGGCCAAAGTACAACGCCCTCATTTTAAGTCCCCTGGTGGGCAAGTCAAGCGGGCAAAATTCAACCAGTACATTAAAAATTATTCATCATTCAACAGCAGCCAATAGTGATTTTTATGCTTACTGTTGTATATGCAGGTTTTTCAGTGATAGCTGAAGGAGAGGCAAGGGTCAGCGGAGTTTCAGTCGGCTTTTCATCTTCTTATTCGTCGACTGCAGCCTGCTGACAGTGTCTTGTGACTTCGGTGAAGCTCGAGAAGTCACTCCACCATGAAGTTCCCGTATGCAATGCTGGGAGATGGTTGGGGCAGGAGTTATCTCGGCCCCATTACATGATGTCGAGGATGCCATTATTCTCTGAGAGTCAGGGCCAGGACTGCTAAAATCTTGTAGATTTTTCACCCATTGTCAACTTGATGCGCCTGCAAACCAGTTTCTCTCATTTTAAGTTCATAACGCGGGAGTGAAATATTTATTTATTATTTATTTGTCCTGAGTTACACGGCGAGTTGAACTGAAATACAGAAGGACATCGGAACCTGCTTCTTCTTTTCTTTGGGCGGTGAAAGCTACGGGTTGAGTTGGTCAGGTGAAACGAAATATATGGTATGAAAACGCCTCCTGAGCACTCTGTTTGAGAGTGTTGATATTTGTTTGAATATTTTAGCCCTCTGTAGGTTTTATTCTTTAACCATGACCTAT